CCCCTCGGAAGGCAAAAACAGCAGCTTACCGCGGAGAGGTACAGGGAGTTTGCCATACGGGCACGGCTGGTAATAACATCCCTGCCTGCTGCCGCCGCAACGTTAAATTATGGCATTGATTAAAAAGAGTCCCCGCGATGTCATTCAGTACTGAATTGGAAAAAAGAAAACCACTGCACAGGCTGGCTCCACACAGCACAATCCTGACAGGCCTCAACTTTTATCCCTAACTTCACTCAGCTCACGGAGAGGGCTTACTAATTGCCCAGACGCATCAGCACCGCACAGTCAAACACAGCTGGCGCGCACCCTGTCCGCGCCGGCCCCTGGTTAATCGGGCAGGTGAGACATATTGTCATAAACATAAAAGCTGCTTTGACACCACTACCACGAGAGGAAAACGAGGCATTTAGCTTGCCGAGAGAAGAGTTGCTGGGGTCTTCCAGGGTTTTCTTGCTTTGCACGCGGCTGAACGTAGGGTAGCTACTGGGGTGAACAGAGCACAACAAGGTTGCACGTCTTAAGTCCAACAGATGGCCTCGTTTAAATCCCGAATATTGTGGATGCTTCTAGTCTCCCCCCCTCACAAAACAGAGGGACTCGTTTCCACGCAGCCCTATTTAAACAGTGGAAATCTTTGCCACGTGATGTTGCAGATGGCAATTATTTGGGTTTCAACAAGTGATTGGGCAAGTTCACATAAGTAAAAATCAAGCAAGAGTATTAACTGCCAAGACAATGCCTTTTGCTCAAGAAGGTCCTCAGCTGCAAATCAACAGAGAATGGAGAACCACAACTGAGAAAGTTTCATGCCTACTGGCACAGCTCTTAACCTCTTTCCCAGGCATCCACTAGCAGCTGCCTTTTCTTTCTTTTTTTCCTTCAGTAGGAGCACAAACTCTGTCTGTGCCGCTCCCCACAGGTACAATGGCATTTCCTGCATTCGGGGAAATAGCAGGAGCCAATGATAGCCCAGGGCTAGTGACCAGCCTCATCTCAGGGAAGCCACTTTCCTCCTTGTCACCTTGCTGCATAACAGGAGGCAGGCTGGGGCTAGCCAGACACTTTATGAAGGTCACTTTGCACACCAGCTTGGCCATACCAGCCGACAAGCCCTGGCTAGGTGTGACTGAAGGCGGCACAAGAAGCGGACCTAGTTTCTCAAAGCAGAGCAAACAAGCAGCAGCTCTACTGGAGGTAGAGGGTTGCTGTGACACCTCTCAGGAGGACAGCTTCAGAAGTCAAATCCAGCTCAGTTACCAGCCCCGAGCTTGGAGAAGCAGTGGGGAAGAGCCAGGCTTGGTGCTCAGTTTGCCACAGGGGAAGACTGAAGTTACAAGAATACGGCCATGAGCCTCTAATGCTAGGAGGGGTCATCCCCAAACTGCAGTCCTCTCCCAGCAGCTGCCAGCCTGGCTTCCTGCACCGCAACTCTAGCAAAGACACAGGAGGCAGCAGAGCTGTGTCCACCACCGTTACCTCTCGCAGCACACATGCCTAAAATTTACCCCTTGGAAAGAGAGTGGTGAAATGAAACAAGGAAGAGAAAGCACAGCACAATTCTGTAAACGGCAAGTAGGCTATGAGACAGCTATGTCTCATGAAAATACATTTGCTTTTAGAACCTAAGCCCTAACAAAGAGGCAACGTTATGTCTGTGTGTCATAAACTCACTGCTATTGTTTACTTGGTAATCAGCTAATAACAGAAGAATATTCCTAAGGAAGTGGATTGCTTGTTCCCCTCTTGCATTCAAACCTGCAGCCCGTAAACCTTCCTCATCTACAAATGCAATGGGTTCTTGCTGCCTTGTTAATTAAGCTGATGCATTGGCTACCATCAGTAATCAGTAAGCGTGCAGGACACTCCCATGTGCGTTGGAAGGGCAACAGCAAGGTTTAGTAAGTTGCATTGGGATTTCCTGGCTGTTAGAGCTTCTAATATTGTAAGTGAAAACGTGGTGTGGATGGAAGAGCAAGTAGTCGGATCCTTCCCGTTTGCCATAAACACTGCAGATGAAACCTAAGACAGGTTCCTAGTAGGTAGCAGGTCTAGATTTCACTGTTACATAATCTTACCTCTACCGAATACTGATAGCTTCTTTTACAAGCAATTAAATCCATCAGAAAACCCAGTGAACAGACTCCACCTCCTTTGTTAGCCAGTCATCTATGTTTCCAACTGGCCACTCAGCAGCGAAACTCAATACCCAGAAATGTAAAAGGATCATTTAATTTGGGGCTGATAGCACACCCTCAGGATGTAGTTTTAATCTTGTGTTGGTTTTTTTTCTTTTAATTTCTCTCAGCTCAGCAGCATTGTTTCCAAGCAACCCGAGAAAGCTACAGTCCTGCATAGCCATAGCCCAATTTCCCTGGCACGCCGGCTCAGCGGCAGAGGCAAGAAAGGAACAGCAGCATCCAGAGGGGATTCCTCCTCAGAGATACCTGGAGTCAGAGAGGCTCCAAACCTGGATCCTGAGGCCTGTTCCAAAGGGTTTGACACAGGTAGTGCATGATTTCTTGTATACACGTGTGAGAGAGAGAAGAAGAGAGAGGGAGACCATATCCAGTAACACAGATGAGCTTACCAAGCATGTCATAGTTTTCTTTGCATAGTTATAATAATCCATGGGTTCCTCTTTTCTGAACAATCCTGTTCAGGCTGGGAATATTCCAGATGTAGCCTTCTGCTGCCTAGTGTACCTGCTCACACTAGGCAGGCACTTTTCCCCAGTGGGACCAAGCACTGCAGTTATAAATGCTGGGCCAGCACCTCGTGTGGTGTAAGTCATCCTACAGGCTTCCAGCAGCCCCATGCCAACTCCTACTAATTGAGGATCCAGCCCAGAATACTCACTGTTACCTTCTGGTAAGTGCAGTTATGTTGATCCTGCAGTACACTACACAGCAGGGCTAGGGGTTGATACCCCACTTTACACTAGAAAACTAACTGGTGCGCTTGCTGCGTGGCTGGGCCTCTGTGGCTGTGAATTACAGAGCTGAGAAGCGTACACTTTGATTTTATAATAAATTGGTGGACCAAGGTGCTGGCTGCTCTCCTTGCCATGTCCTGTCCCAGACGGCTGTTATCTCATCTCTTCCAGCCTGTCCTCTTCCCAGTCCATTGTGATCTACAGCCAACTACCTGCCTTTGTCCATCCCTTCTTTTACCACCTACGTCTGATTAATACACACACAGTGGGGAGGACAACCCAAGTGCTAAGAACTCAGAAGCAGCAGCAGGTAGAGACTGTGCGGTAGATCTACATTATGCGAGAGAACGTGCATCACTGTGATGGGGATGCAAGAAACCTGCTAGCTGACAAGTGTCATATTCTAGACAGATGCTCATCATAAATGGGCCTATCCTGCCCCTTTGCCATCACCAAGCTCCTTACCCTCACTTTCAGTGCTGTGCATGTTGTCTTGACTATGTTTTCTCCCCATTTCTACTACAGTCCTACTTGGGAATTGGTTTTGGCCAGATTTTTGTAGAGGTCTCTAAGCGTCCCAAACACTTCTGCCTGTGGTTCCACTCTGCTCACTGTGATAGAGACACTTGGTGGGATGCACTTCTTTTTCTCTCTCCTACATTTCAGTGAGCCATTTGCATTGCGGTGACAAGTAGAACATCTCTGGCCATGGAAAGAAGATGCTTAAAGAAAGAGATTGAAAAACTCCTGTAAGTACTCTCTGTCCTCAACTTCCTGCACTGAATTTGAGATAGACTTGCTTTCACTGCAACAGGTTGCAGGACGTAGCTGGACGACAGCTGTAAATCCTTAGTCTTTTCTTGGTGGAAAGCATGGACAGACTTCCTCTGAGATGCTCTTAATTTTCTAGCATGCCCTACCTGCAGTCTGCAGTGTAACAGAGCCCAACTGCAAATGTGACAGCAGAGAGGTCTCACTCCCACGAGCATAGAGCAGGGTCTGGGTTGTGCAGGGAACTACAAAGCTCCCCCCTTGCCAGGCATCCACTGTACATCCAGGGCAGCTACTATAAGGGGCCTGTCAGTTCATGCAGCAGAGCCTTGTGCATTTAGATGCAGGACCTTCCCAGCAGACAACTCCCGGGGGATGTAAAGCAATGTTCCCTCTATTCAGTGCCAGCCCTTCCCTGGTCTCTTTGCACAGACCATACTACTCAGCCTCAGGAAAGGAAAGGTTGCAGACTCAGGCCTTCCATTAATAAGAAAACCAAACACCAGGGAAGTACTACTTTCAGTCTCTTGGCTGTACTTTGAAATCCTTTCTGTGAAGCTTCAGACTTGTAACACTTTTCACATTTGTGCTTCTTCCCATATTTTGAAGCCTTTGAAGAAGACAGCAACATGGTCTGAGGGAAGCTAAGATTGTCTATGATGCAAAAGATTAATGACTCTCCTAATCCGGGTGGGTCTAGGAGAAATCCCGTAGCAGTTTCCTAACTAATTCCTAATTTTACACTGACCTTAGAGTCACCTACTATATCATCTCTTGCACTGGATTGCTTAGAACTGGTGGTAATTCAAAGTTGCTCTCTTGCTTTAAGGATTGATTATGTTGGCATCAAACTACGAGAAAGTGAATTTGATCCAGGAGGACGAAGGCAGTCCACCTTTTTAGAAGACATGGTAATCGGACTTCTTATTTCCAATCCTATACCCTTCATCTGCAGGTCTAGGGAGAACTCTGAAGGATGTCTGTTTGATACACCCAAATGAGCCGTTCCTTACAGTGATCAATAAAAGCCCATTACTGAAAGGGGCATCTAGAGAGATTGGCTGTGGATAACATCCAGGTATAACATACCCATGATAAGCTAAGTTCTGACTGATTTTTCAGCAAGACATAAAACTTATCAACAAAGGACACTTGGGAAGGTTGAAGTCAGCCATCTGAAGAGACTTGTACGTAAACTAAAGCTGTCAGTGCAAAATAAAACCCCTTTCAACTGAGCTGAGAAAGTCTTCCTAGGCATGTGTAAAATGCCTCAAACCTCAACAAGCGCCCTACAGTTGGTGAGCTACCTACTGCGTGCACTGGGCTGCAGCTCATCTCTCCCTGTATTCCTCCAGTCTCTCTCTCATCCCTGGGTCAAGTGATTACAACAGAACACACACTTGGGGTTCTTTTCTCTTTCCAGGCCCATTACAACTTGGCCCTTAGTGTTGCTTTGCTGTGGCTAAACGACTCAGGTGCTCAGCCTCTGCTGACAAAAGAGGAAATGTGAGTATTGCAAAGCTAAGGTCCTAATGCTGCCATGGGCTGCACCCGTGTGAAAACAGTAAAAGCCGCAGTGAATTGGTCCAGCACTTTTTTCACTTTTTTAACACCAAGCTAATCATCTTGTTCAAAACACCACGCAGGAATTTGACAGCTCGCAGCCGATACACATATCCCAACCGAACTGAGAGAGAAGCTATGATATTATCTTCATGTGCTGGAATATTAATGGTAAGAGGGCAAGAAAATAGCAGAATCTTGTGCTCTGTGGCAGCTGTCTAGAAAAACTCCCTGTACCCTGCATGTCTTTGCTTATAGAAAGCCTACAGCATATAGATAATGCAAATATTACAGATCTGACTCATTTTATCAGGTAGCCATTAAGTTTTGCTCAGCCTGAGAAAGCAAAATAGGCAGTTTCAGTAGGTGATACTGTGAGTGTGTATCAGTATCTATCTTGCCTCACCCATAAAGAGCGTTGGTATAACATGATGATGGAAATAGAAGCACAAGCAGAGTGTAACAATCCCAGCAAAGATACAGTGTGACCTTCCAAGCTAGTGTCTCAGTACATGCCATATACCCACCTTAAGCATGCAGGGAGCCACTGTGGATCTCATGAGGGAACAAAGGACTTGCTTCCTTGTTCTCTCCCCCAGATTTTCCTTTATTTACTTTCAGGCTCTCTAAGAGCAAGTTATAGGACCAAGTTCTCAATAAGATACATACTAGGAACATGAAACAATCCTAGGAGTTCACGTGAAAGCTTTTTCAGAATTCAAAGGAGAGGGAGTATTAGCTGGGTTTCATGCATTCACTTTAAAGAATACTGCTCTTAAGAGCTGACTTTTTACCTTACCTGTTTTCACAGAACAGCATTCCTGTTGAAGATGTCTTTGAGATTTACAGCCTGGGGCCCTCAGCAACACGCTGGCAGAGCTCTGCAAAAGTGAGTCATTTGCACGTTTATCAATATCTCTTGTAGGGGTCTGAGTGAGGATCTCTCACCTATAGCAGCCTGGTCCAGCGCATGGGGCATCAGACTGGCATTCTGGGGAGCACCATCCAAGTGTGGCTCTCCCACCTACCTCTCCCAAATCCCTCAGCTCTGGATCATTTCCCTTCCCATGCTTTTCCTTTCCCGCTCAGAGTAAACCCTGTCGAACCATGCCCTTTTCTCACTGCCTCACACGTGCCATCAGGGCTTAGAGCTGTGTGGGTGGCCTTGCGGCCTCACAGCAAGGTGTAAAGCCTCCATGGGAGGTAGTAGTTATCCACAGTATACCTCAGCCCGCCTGCCAGTCTTGAGAGCATGTCTGTCAAACCTGCCGAGTGCAGTGCATTTCTTAATTTCTTGCAGATCATATTGCCTGGGGCTCTGTTAGAGCTAGTGTTTATTCCAGCTCTCCCATACTAATAAGAGGAGGGGAGTTAATTCTCCAGAAAGCAATTACTACTCTTAGACCAGCAGTGGTTTGGGAACAATGCATGGAAGATAGCAACAAGCTCTCATATCTCCCTGTTGCAGCAGAGTATAAGCATTCAGATATCACGCATGACCACAGACTGGGTTTGGCAGCATGACTTTTATCTGAAGCTAGTGCTTGCTGTCTTCCTTTGGGATTGTTCTCTGGCTGCCAAAGACGTACCGCGTCTGCACCTATTCTTCTTCCCCAGTACACTCAGGCTTCGACCCCCAAAGTCTCTACTCTCTTTGGGGACTGGAGGACAAGACCTAACCTTTTCTAGCACTTGGCCTCTGGCCCTGCCCCACACTGCCTAGCCTCACCCAGGAAACAGAGATGGGTCACAGTGTATCCTGTGAGCAGTTTTCTAAAGCAGTAACGCTGACCCTTACAGCTCACCTCTCTGCACCAGTTCTTCAGCCCTTCTCTTTCGTATGGACTTCGCAGGTACTTCAGTCTCCTTCACCCATTCTTTTTCCCTTTTAGCTGATAAACCTTCCTGCCAAGTAAATGAGCAAATGGTCTGACATTAGGCATTTTTTCAGAGGAACCAAAAATGTTAAATCCCATATCAAGAAGTTTGGCTAAAGACCTTTACTCTGCAAGACAGAGACCTCTAACGTCTCCACTTTTTGGAAAGCTACTGTCTGTTGCCTGGCAGGGTGTGACGACACTGCAGGTGTTAGTCTTCAGGTCCTGATTTTAGACAGCTTCGTAAAAATCAGTGCTAGGTTACAGAAACCAGCTCTCAAAAAGGAACTCAGAGCAACTCTCACATCAGGGTTACAAGACACTGTTTAAGGAGATTCAGTATCTGCACCCTAGAAATCCTCCCTGAACCCCAGTGAAGGATAAGAGATGGCACCCTTCAGAAAGCCTTAGTTTTTCTCTTCAATGAAAGAAAGAGGAGAACAAGAGAACAGTTGCCAAGCCAGTTCTTCACTTGCAGTGGATTACAGTCCTGTGCAAGTTGGACACAAACTAAACAGAACAAACCTAATCAGTGCATGCATGGGCACCGTGCTGGGCGAAAGTGGCAGGATTTAGGTAACAGGAGGCTGTAGTGGTGACTGGTATGCGGGAAGACCAGGAAATGCCTTGTGCCAGCCAGCTCAGAAATCCATGTAAACAACCCACCACGCATCAGAACTTCAGCCAGGGGAGCACACGGCACCTCTGCTCAAGCATATCTAAGAAAAAGCAACAGCTGCTAGGGGAGAAGACAGGTGAGGAGACATACGGAGGGAGAGATGGCTGAAGAGATGTGCCACTGAAGGCATGCACTTGGAAGGAGATGCTCCACATGAAAGGGGTACAGCCCTCAAGGGACTGAAGCCTGTGGGCAACCCATGTTGGAGCAATGACAGTAAGAAGTGTGGAGGAGCAGCATACAGAAACCATTGCACAACCACCCCAATCACCTGCATCACCTGTCACCTCACTAAAGGAACTGGGACAGAGTGTAACCAGCAGTGAAAACAAGGGAAGTTGAGACTAGGAAGGGGCAAGAAGATAAGTGCTTGGCTCAAGGTGAGCATGGGAAAGAAGCGTTTGACCCTCATTACAACTTCACAGTCAGAAACCTCTAGCAACATAAGGATCACTTCCAAAATCCCTGCACCATCCTTTCAGTCTAAAGAGTCAACTGTAGCATGTTAGATTATTTGAATGCTGTGCTCTCAGGTTTAGAGGTTTATGAAGGCTTTTTATTGCTATGCTTCCTTCTGGCTTAAATGCCCAGCTAACTACAGACTTCATGGTTCTTTTTTGGCTTGCACACTAGTGTGGGTCTTTGCCAACCCAAGTAAACAAAGTGCCAGTGCAAGGCAAGCACAGACACACAAAGGCTCTTTGCATTCAGTATCCAGCCTTCAGGGACATGTTTTTGTTCCTGAAAGGGTGGAAGCAGGTTGTTTTGCTCTGCTGTGCTGTTCCTCTGTTGGACCTCTGCTGAAAGTTATTCCCAGGCTACTAGAAAGAGAAACTTATGTATCTGGTCCATGCGAAACTGGATACAGAAGACTAATGTACCTGAGCAACGAAAAAAAAAAAAAAACAAACCTACAGTAGACAAAAAGGAGACATTCACTCCAACTTTGTTGATCAGACCTCATGTTGGCCCTGCAGATTTCACTAATTAAGGCTCTTCAATCTTTCCTTGCCCTGACCCTAATGCCTACACTTAGCCCTAGTCTTAAAGAGATAACCTGTTCTCAGAATTACTCACAAGGCTTTTAGTATTGCTGGTACCACACACCTTGCAGAATCCTTCCAAATAGCTTTTGGTTTTTTTTAATTAAATAAAATGTTTGCTTGCTGCCTTTTGGATCGAGGAGAGTCCAAAGAAGAAGTACCAATTCAATGCCCCTTCTCATATCCCCAAACCTCCTCTGCCATGAAATGGCCCAGGGACTCTTGAGCTGTGGCTAAGCAATGCTAAGCCACAGGCCCCTTCTCCCACCAGCCTCCAGCCCAGCCCTCTGTGATCTGAGCAATATAGTGGGAGGAATTTTCCATTGCATAAAGGCATGATAACATTTGCATCAGAATATTTGGATTTAGTAACAGCTGTGCCATTTAAAAGATGTCCCTTAATAAACTCAAGCTGTCAACCCCGCTAGCTTTTGTCCCTTTGGTAATAGCAAATTAGCTCTAGCCCTTCTCTCTTTGGACCTAGCAATAAGCTGAACTCTTCAGCAGCTCCTCTGCCTCACAGCGTGCTAGGGAGAGGGGAAAAGGGCAGTCCAGCTACTCACAACGACACTAAGGTGCGGTCCAGCTCCCGGGCCCTTGGTATAATGCCTTACAGAGCAGCAGCCCCACCAGCGTGATCTCATTACTGTTAACGTCAAGTGAGAAAGGCCGCCTAGGGAAATATAAGATGCTTCACAAGGGCCTTGCCTGTGTTCAGAGCAGGCCTGTGTAAAAGCAGGTCTGCAGTCATAAGTGTAATTGCCCTCCAAGAAACACGGGAAGGGTTATGATCTTTAACTCATAACTCACAAGAATACTTTCTCATATGGCCTAGATATTTAACAAAGGAACATTTGTGCTGGAATAGGTAGGTTCTATTTTCAGTAATGCAGAATTTAGTAATGTTTCCCAAGCAATCATTAAATGTTGCTGTAGAGTTGTAATCAGACTATAATAGGCAATTCACGTGTAACCAGCATTTCTGATGCACTTATAAAATACTTAATCATGCTTGGCCTTACTATTAATGGTGGACTGCCACCCAGCGTCCAGAAAAGGCTAGAGCTGCACTTTAACTCAGTAATTACATTCACCAGAACAGCCTTGGCCATGACCTCTCTGACTGCATTATCTCATCCAATCCTATTTAGGGGCATTTCACAACCTGTCCTGTCAGCACAGGAATTTTCCACACTCCTCCAGTGGGTAGATCAGCTCTCCCCGCTTTTGCTGTGAATAGTACACTGTATTTTCACTATCATGCCCCTTATGGCATGAATCCTCTTCCCTATGAATTCCCAATCCAGTATATTTGTAGAAGTGTCCCTTCTGAGTGCACACTGCAGAGGAGTGAGGTTTTCTTGTAAGTTTTCCAGCTACTCATGCTGTTTGCCACTTTTTTCTTTTTTTTTTTTTTTTTTTTAATTAAAGCGTCGATTCATATTCTGATGTTACTCAAGGAAGGAACAGTGTTTCTGTTCTTCTCATGTAACCTTGCACTTACATAGCACCTGTCCAGCGGGGTCGGGACACTTCCTTGATAGTCATGAGGTGGCAAAGTTATAAAATCTTCTGAAGAGGAAGATACTCCATTGTTATCAGGAGCTCTAGTTTCCATTTCAGCCAGTAATGCTGCTTAATTTTAAGCATGGACTTAAGCTTATTCCCACTCTGTGAGAAAGGAAGGGAAACGCTTTGCTGAATTTGGAGACTAAGGGTAATTAATTTTCCAAAGCCCTAATAAGTTTAAGAGGTTAAAACTACTGTTTTCATTAACAGTAACTCCTGAAGCGCAATTTATGCCTCCTTAAAAGAGCCCAAGACTCAAGGAGCTGGAATTCAGCCCACTGTAAAATTCATCTTTTGTGAATCTCAAGTTTGGTCATCTTCTTCCCCTGTTTCCCTACAAGATAAAATAATGGAGATTCCTATAACCTACCGACCCCTTTTGAAGTCCTGGCTTAGATCTCCTTGAAAATCAAGCACCAGCTTACCAGGCTATATAAATACTTAGGTACCTGGACCTAGCACTCATAGCCTGGTCATGTCCTTGGGGGATTTAGGAACTAAAATTTCTGTACCATGAGAAGGGCCCACCTAGCCTGAGAAGGATACAACAGTTGCTGTCCCAAGTGCCTGCCACCCCTCAGAGTTTCCTACCCCACCGCCAAGACGTTTCAGCAGCTGCCTGGTGAGCAGCTGCACAGCCCCAGGCCAGGGTGCTGTGACAATCGCCGGCTGCCCCGTGCACGCAACGCTGCATAACGTAGCAGGTCAGCTACTGCGCTAACAACTGCCACGTCCTGGCAGCAGAGACGGGCACTTCAGAAAGCTGGGTGGGCCAAGCGCCAGGTCAAAAAAGGTCAGCAGAGCTCTCCTCACTCAGACATCACGGTCTCTGAGGCAGTTATCTTACGTTTCAGCCGACTACGCAGAAGGATGTGGCTGTTTGGCTTGGCACATGGTTTCTGCAGATGTACTAATCTGTGAATTACTGTCCTTCCAGGACCACTGGATTCACCCTTTCAACCTCTCCCTGCACCCATTTGCCATGCTGACTGCCCCCAGAGCTGCAGAGCACGTCCGGAAGCACAGTGAGCACACTTCACCCCAATTCCCCACAGGGCCACGGCAGGGAATATGCGGTAGCAGCTGCCTGTCCCAGCACTGCCACCGAGTTACAGCCTGCAGAGCTCCAACAGCTACACATAAGAAGGATCATGTAAACCTTGCTCCATGCCCATTCTGGTTACGGAGAGCTTCCTACTGCGGCCTGGAAATAGTATCTAGCTCAGGTTCCTGAAGTCCATGATAGTTGCAAAAGGAGTATTTTATTCTAAAGTTGAGGTGTAACATTACATGTGTAAGATTACCCATTTCTGTAGTAGGGTCAACCTTCACATCTGACAAACACTTGTTTAGTTCAAGCTTGGACTAATATTTGGACTTGTGCAAAGGCTGATTAAAGTGTGAGGAGGGCAGTGGTAGGTTTTTTCCTCTTCTCCAAACACAGCAAAAGTGAGAGGAACTCCATCAGCATTAGGGAATTTGATACTGGGGCCCTTCACTTCCAATCATTTAACACAACTGATCCCATATCCAGGGGTACTCTGTGGGCCCAAGATGATGCTTGGCTCTTTCTCCCTCCTAAGGCATCAAGTACCAGAGAGCAGCAGCAAATCAAAAGACCAACCCTCATTCAACAAGGAGAGCTAAAAAGGACAGAAAGCAACTTGACTCACTGACCAGAAGAAAGCAGCAGGATGACAAAGTAGGTTTGAAAATTTCATACAAGTCAGCGAGCCATTTTTGCAGTAATACCTCTGAATGTCACAGCTAGAGGGGCCCCTCTGGCCACCCAGAGCCCACAAAGCCTTTCTTACAGGCCCTTCTTAATGCTCTGTAGCATGAAAAGTTTCACAGTAGTGGTAACATACATATAGTGTCAATCCTAGATTTGACTTTCATGGCAATTGTATCATACTTTGGGCAAGAGGTGTCACTCATGAGCTGGAAAGTCACATTCCAGGAATATTCTCAACATGCACACTTGAAAAGCACTCTTCTGGCTAATATTCACTGCAAAACATATTCACTACCATCAATTTTAGATCAAAAACAGTTGAAAACTTTTTTTTTTTTTAAACAAAGAAACTGAATAAAAACCTGACTCCATAAAAAACCCAGTGGTGTCAGATCACTAACCTAGCATGGTCACGAATTAGGCTCTGCCTTTCTATTTGTATGTGATTTGCCAAAGCCTATTGTTTACGCCCCAGCTCTGCAGAGCAAGAGAGTTGAGAAAACATTCCTTCTAGCAACAGCAGGGATCTGAATGAGTGGCATAAGGGGGCTCGCCTGCACCTCCGAGCTCAGTGTGCATCGCATGTCACACAGCAGGAGGGAAGCTGATCCACTGTGCAGTCCCCATCTCTCCCGATTCATTCAGCACTGCATGCTGTGCTTGTGCTTATTAACATTTGCATCCTGCAGGGAGCTACAGAAGCAGCAAAACAAGGAATCTCTCCAGAGAAGCCTGGAACAGATCTGAAAGGAGAGAATGCAGAAAAAGCTAAAGCATAATAAGGACCCAGACTTCATGTACCTCACCTAGCTGTATGTGAGTTAAGTGATGTCTTCTAGTCTAGCTTTTGATAATGCACTGTGCTGGTTTTTTGTTTTTTTAAATCTTAGCCATTCCTCCCTTCCCACCCCTCCTATCTCGCACTCAAGACTCACACACTCCCCCCTCTTCCCTTAGCCACCCCTGTCCTGCTTCCCTGCTAGTGTGCAGAGCGCTTAAATTTTTCCAGTGCATCCTTACTACCCCTCTCTAGCTCCTCAACCCACCATGATACTTGTATAGAGCCAAAGAGAGGACGCAGCACTTTGCGGAGCCAGGGAGCATGTGCTTCCCCATGCTCACGGTTCCGTGGCATTCCCACATATCATACAGAGTGGGGCAGGAATGAGCACCACTGTATCACATGAGGGTTGTGCCTCCTAGGTAAGCTCATTTTCCTCAGCCCTTCCCTTTAATTGCTATTCCTCTTCCATCTCGCTCTTATTTTTTAAGAGAGTCAACTAAAGAAAAAACCTCTCTCACACTGCCAGTGCTACACTGGAGCTTCTAATTGTCTTCCATTCCCCATTTGTAGGTCTCTAAGGGTTTGCTTCTGCTGTGTCTACATTGTGCAGCCCAAGACTACTCCCCATCTCCTGGAGGGACTGTCACAACCTTCATCCATATCCTAACTCCACCTTGGGATAAGAGCTGGGTACGCATCATTCCCCTTTACCTCCCTCTCCCTCTGGCTGGGAGCCTGGGCACAGTACGGCATGTTTCTATAGGACTCTTTCTATTCACTTCCATACAAGTTTCAGGGCTCAGTAGGGTAGAAGTGTTCACTGCTGAGGGGCACATATAACATTAATTGCCGGGTAGAGAGACTCCATTTGAGCTTTTTACATATTAAAAAAAAACACACACACCATCAACAAAAAAACCACACATTCACATAATTAAAGATTCCAGCTAGTTTGAGCCAGAGCATAGCCAAACAGCCATCCAAAGGGCAGTCACATATTGTAAGGCTACATTAACCCACGCCACAGAGATGCTCCTGTACCCTAATGCAGAAATGCTAAAGAAAAAAAATAAACACTTGTGAAGCAAAACTGTTTTTGTTCTTCTGCCCATTGATTCTCAGGCACTGACCCTATTTATAGAGATGCCAGAAGACAACGTTGCACAGCAAAGCCTGGGAAGTGGTTAAACTTAGCATGTGTTCCAAAAACTTATGGATTCAAAGGGCCTTTTAGAAATCCTCATGACTCAAAGCTTGTTTTCAGCTCACTAGGTTCCCTTTTTTTTTTTTTTCCTCTAAAAGAACGTATCACAAATCTCCTGTTAACATTTACAGTCTATAGTAAAACTTTGTTGCTGTAAACATCTGTCCTCAATTCTGAGCTGCCCATGGCAAGAGACTTACAACAGCTTTGCACATTCAAGAATTACAGCTTAACCGATGGGTCTCTTTGTGCCAACACTGACAGGGGGCTCTCAACCATACCACGCCTCCCCTCACTTGCCCCTTGAGCCATGTGAGCCAAAATCAACGCTTAAGAGAGTGAGATGAGAAGGCTGGAAGGGACCTCAGGTTGTCATCCAGATCACCCTTCCCCTGACACAGGCAGCTAGTGAGTATTTGGCCATGGATTCTACAGCACCGGCTGTTTCAGCCTGGTTCACCAGCCCTGCAGGGAGCAGGATTGCTGGAACTCACCATCCAGTCCCGTTTCACCATTCCTACCTCTCCACCGCCTGTGCTCACTGCCAGGACAGGCCTACCCTATCATACCTGGCATAGGCTCATCCCTGGTCCTCAGGGTGTCAATTGGCTTCTGAACAGAGGCTTCTCTTCTCCTTGCAAACAAGTGCAGTAGAGCAGTAGGCCACAGCCAGTACCCAAGACTTCAGCAAAATTCATCCTGAACCAAACAGCATCATTCGGACCCCTTGAAAGCCAAAGCTGAAGTGCTTTGAAATTAGGTCATTGCAGTGGGGTGGGAGTGGGGTGGGGGTGAGGGAGGGGTTTGCTGCTGATCACATAAGCAAAAGAACAATAGTGAAAGGATATTAAACGGCTATAGAGAGCAAGAGATTAACCTCTCATGACTGGTCTCTGTTCATTGACCTGAAATAAAAACAAACAGTAAGACTTTAACAAATAGGTGAATAGCTGTGTTATTCAGGCACTGGTTTTGTTAACAGAGTACGGGCATGGTCTTCATGTTTCATTGGCTAACATTTGGCGCTTGTTACAGGTAAGACCATGCAGCCAGTGACAGAGTTAACAGAAGCAACCAACATAAGTCCTGCTACCCTGATAAGCGCAACACATGGTGTGTTTCATTTTCAGAAGTGCAAATGCCTGCCCCTTCTCCACTCCCTCCCCTGTTGGCTGGCCAGTGCCCAGCCACCTGGGCACAAAGACCACAGGGCCCAGCAGATCAGGCAATTTCTCAGCAACGTTTGCCGTTCACATGGACTGTGGAAGGCATTTTTAGACAGCCAAAGCCAGGCAGCTGAAGATGCTTATAGATGTGGCTGCGATAGGATTGGTGGGTGATCCCCTTCTGCCACCTTGACAGAAGTTTTCTCCTTTCCTGAGCAAAAAGGGCTTTGCTAAGTGAGAGGTTTCTGTTGACCAGTTAGCTGGTGCAACTGTCGCCTTTTTTCCAACTACACAAAAAGCAATGAACATAACCCAGAGGTGCCCAACACCACATTGCAACTCACTTTGCAATACCATCCACTCTGAGAAAGGTAAGGGACACGCAGTGCTGCAGTTCACAGCCCCATTCACGACACTGAAATCAGTGCTGGTCTCAGCGAATACCACGGCCATGAACGTAGCAGCTGAGGCAGACGGACCGCCTGCGGGGCAAAGTAGTAGTGAAGGGTTGTAATCTCTTAATTTGCCCCACACAAGCTTGTGAGTCAGAGCCCTTAGACTGCAGCAGTACCATGCAAGCCAGCCCTGATTTCCCTCTCATTTAAACCACAGTAATCCTGACTTCAGACACATTACTACTGATTCTCCAGCTGTTCCCGAGAGAAAGTTCTGGCTCATTTCAGTAAAGAACTTTTCCCCCAATCAAAATACAGGGTGCTGACATTTCGCATCTGCCTTACACAAAGCAGGCATGTTTTGCCATTCTAAGAGACTGGTATACCTGTAAGACAAAATATAACTAATCTCTTAGGGAAAGCATCAGTTCTATCAGGACAAAACCCAATATACTAAGGACTATACATCTTCAAGAGGTGCACAGTGGCAAGAGCAAACACCAGAGCTAAAGCAATGAGAAATTTGGTTTCACCCAAACTCTTTGAAACAATGTTGCAGTAAAAGTTGCTGCCTCCCTGACAGGAGTTAAGGAGGGAAGACTCAGCATCTCTGCTGCATTTTCCATAGCCAGGAGCATTAAAGATGCTCAGAACTAGAACTAGCCCAGACTGGCTCCAAGAGGGAGCTTGCGGTAGCAAAACGGGCAGAGAGGAGACTGACTACCAACCTCCAAATACCCTGTCACCAGGCTTGGTGCTGTTATGGAAGTGACCTGCCAACTACTTGTGTGCAAGTGTTCCCGCTGCCAGTGCAAAACACATGGTCAGTTTATGCAAAGCAAATGTGCGACACAGTTGCCAAAGACAGCTAGGAAGCAGACCTCACAGCCTTTCACTGGGACTTGCATTAACACCCGCTGTTCAAAAAACAACTCGTCTGCAATCCACGTAGCAACAACTGTTCCCTTACATCATTCATCACCTTTAAGGACTACCCACAACAATTTGCCATACACAACAAACGCACTGCAGAGTCTCTCAGGTGACCCAGAGAGCTCAGAAGCATAGGGCTGGGTATAGAAAAGGGGTCAGGAGGGTCCATTCGCCTGTTTGGCCCCATCATTTAAGAGTGATAGCAATTAAATGGTTTTTAACAGAAGGCAGGAGCAATAGGCTTCCCTCAGTTTGGCAGATGCTGCAGACTCAGCTTGTGGCAAGGGCAGCAGGGATCGTAGTGGCTGCTCTGCAGGAGCACTGCAAGAGGGGAACAGAGGATCCAGATCTCACTGTGAGCTTACCTCCTACAAAAGCTAACAGCTAAACCTGCCTCAGACTTTTCTTGTTCAGCTTGAGCACTGCCCCTAGAGAAGAGGCCAAGAAACACAAAAGCAGAATGCTTTGACAGCTCCCTCAGAGGCAAAGGTCATTACTACTTTTTGGACTACATAGGCATCCTTTGCCATCTTTCTCCCACTAGTTAAATCTTGTCTTTCCTGCAAAATAGCAGCCCTTGATTCTCAGTCTTTGAAACCAAATCTGCTCCCACCTGCCTCTCCTCTGCCCTATAGAGGCACATACACATTCAGACTACTCCCCAGAAGGCTAGCGGTAAGGGCTCAAATCTTGTCACACAACAGCAAGAGAGGGTGTCACCAAGCACGTGCTCTAGCAACCATGCAATTTTGTGGTCAGAAAAACCCCTTGTCCATCTTTGATGACCTGGACACCCCACTTTAGTTTTCATTCACAGAAGGAGCGCAGATCCTTTTCTCCAGGCTAAGGACTGCAAATGGTGCCTCTTAGTAATGAGGAAAGACATGGCCTGCCCCAGTGTTTGACTGTCACACTGAGGTGACAGCGTGCTCAGGGCTCGATTTTGTGAAAGCCAAGCTGAGGGACCTTGCATGGGCAGTCTTGGTCTCACCCTGGTGCCAGCACCTTGATGCTCCAGGCTTTGCAGTTTTTTAGGGGCATTATCTCTGTCCTTTCTGGGTCTCAGCTGTTGCACCATCTTTCCTTCCTCAGGAAGGAGCGAACAGTGTTTCCAGCCTTGCAGGGTGTGGTGAGCATAACGTGGCAGACTGCTAGGAAAGCCAAGGGAGTGACAACCAGGCTTATTAAGAGGTTAGAAACCTTATTTTACCAGTTTTATACTAAACTGTACAGCAGAGATTCAGGTCCAAGTCCAGGTCCCAACTCGCATGTTCCATGGTTCAAAAGCAGATCCTTAACGAGAGCTGAGATAAAGAGCCAATTTGAGCATGAGACTATACTAACATTGAGATAGTATTTCCCCCTCTCAGAAAATACCCATGTCTTTCTCTTTTCTTTCTTGCCACAGCAAAGACCTTCCCTTTGGTCTAAAACCATGCAAGCAAAAGTGTGCTTCACCTGAGCCTCCCAAACCTTCCCTTACTCTCCCTCCCTACAGCCACATGCACACTTGTTCCATTGGAGGCAGAGAACATGTAATCACAAACAGAGCTCTTGTAAATAAGTTGGATCTACATAGATGTTCAACTGCATGCCACGTTAACTGATGAATCATATTGACAAGGTCTTTACATGCTTGAATGAGTTTCTCCAAACAGAAACAGAGACAAATTTATGATCTTATGCTTTTGGAATGCAGTAGTTTCTTTTGATGTGAAGCCTCACCTAGTGACGAAATAACATGTTTGTATAACCAACTTTGCATATCCCATGAAGTAGCCTGGTTTTAAGAGTCTAAGATTTAGGTTCAAGAAACTGATAATCACAACAGAACAAGTCAAGGTTTATTTGCTACAGGGTTGACTCAAACAAAAGTGCCAGAGGAGAAGCTCCAAAAAGGAGGAGTAAGATTTTCCGCAACATACTAGCTATGTTCTGTTTCAGTGTGGAAACAACAATCCTTTCTGGCTCCAGCTAGTGAGCCAATTAAGTTGCATGCAGTTTGCTCCTCCTGAATTTTAGAACAGACTTACAAAACATTATAAAAACATTTGTACTGACTGACCCAAACTGATTTTCAGTATTTGCCACAAATTCAGAGACACTGATAAACATTTGATTCTCTCCCACGTTTGATGCCAGCCTTCCCTTTAATCACTATTTCCTCCTAACACACTGCTGAGTTAAAACATGCACACAAGAAAAGGGACTAGAAGGCAAAAAGTCAACAATACCACATGAGATGGAGAGTTTCCTGCTTCTAAGATAAAACAAGTGACAAAGTACTGGAACAGAAGCAAGGTTTGTCTCCTTCTTGCTTTGGGCAGAACAGAGGACAAACTTAGGCAAGAGGTGAGCAACATAAGAGCAGGAAAGAAGAAAACCAGGAGACCTACACCAAAAACTTTCTAGGTCCACTGAGTTTTATAGCTTTCAGGCAAAGGAGACACTGTAAAGAGCAACTCCTGTACACACGTTCCCCATTGGAATCTGGGTCAGATTTGCCACGTAAAACAGTTCACACCCGCTGAAAGCGTGGCCCTCTCCATAATTATACAATTCATTTGTACTCAACATCAGCAAAGGCAGCCCAAAATGAGACTGAGGAAAGAGTTCCATATAGCGAACACAGTAAACGCCACAGATGACAATAAAGTCAAAACATGAAATCCCCCCAGAGCTCAGAACAGGCCGCTTTTACACTACTTTTTGCAGATGCAGCATCAGGACTATCATATATAAAAGTAACTGCTGTGTTTGCTCACAGCTCTCAGCTTTCACCTCAGTGAACTGCCAAAAAGTGGGAAAGGTAACCAGAAGCCCCAGTGTACCAGTATCCTGCTCTGACATATACAGTAGGATGGACTACAAGTAAAATGTTTGTATTGCAGATCATTTTTTAAGACGACAAAGGCTTCCAGGGGCGTTGTTGCAAATGCAGCAGTGACCACCACGGCCTGCCGTCCTGTGTGAAACAGCGCAGTTCCATCTGCGTGAAAAAAGGCAGTTGGATGATTTATGAGAACACCAACTACTTGGGATACCAGTACTTTTTAAAAAGGGGAGACTATCCTGACCTCCAGAAGTGGCTGGGTCTCAGCAACTTTGTCAGGTCTTGTCATTTAATCCCACAAGTGAGTTCTGCTTGGCATTGTATCACTGTTGGAGAAATTTGATTTGGTTTGCCCTTTAAAGACGTAGTTATACAGTCTCTTTGAGCAGCCACTCAAAGCACAGGCAAAATTCAGGAAGGCAGTGCAAAATTCCACGAGATGAAGGAAGTTAGCTGTTGAACATCAGTGCCATTTCTAGGGCCTGCTCCTAACTTGGAGATGCTAAAGGAAAGCTGAGTGACTATTTCTAGGCAGGTAGTCTTTCTATACTACACAAAGAAGGCCTAGCAGGGCCAGTTGGTGTAAATGCTATGGACTGATATACGCAGCTTGCTTGTGACCATAGTGTGCCATGATTCAATGTCACAAGAATACTTGTCATATTTGCAACAGTTATGCCTTTCCTAAGACAAAAAGAGCTAAGTGGTTTAAACCAGGCAAAGAGTTAAGGCTTGTTAAAGTACTTCCCTAATTAGTAAGATGAGAATATAGCGCGTAACCCATAGCAGCAGGAGCACTCCAGGTGCCTGTGCTTCAAAGCTCTGCAGATTGCTACACAGCAACTGCCTCTGCACCAGTACAGAATGGGAGCATACAGAGCAGCGTGGCAACTGTGTTTTAGCAACATAGTTCTGAAGTGGCTGCAATACTTGTGCCTGGTCGTGAGTAAACAATGCAGATCATCTCAAAGTCACGTGAATATATTTTCTCCCATTGCTACAATATAGAGTCCTTACAAACCCCATTGCATCAGATCATAAAGCATCCTCTTCCACTTATTTCCTACCACATGAGTGCAATATGCAATTGGTGCCATTCTTGAGTTCCTCTAGGTGGGCAGGAATGAAACCTTCGTAATTAACTTTGAAAGAATGGATCTTTTAGCAATTCTCTATTTCCATAAGGGAACACAGTTTCTCAGAAATGCACAGTAACAGCTGCGGCAACGGCCATGTTCAATAATGCCAGAATCAATACATTTCAGTCTTTCCTACATTTTTGCTGTTTACCACTGCAGAATTCTGCTTCCCACAAGATTCAGCTCTACAAAAAAGATGAGCTCCAAGGCTAAATGTTGCAGCTCACCGATGATTGTCCATCGGTCCCAGACTACATCCATCTTTCCGAGATCCGCTCCCTCAACATTTTAGATGGCTCCTGGATCTTGTACAAGACGTCCAGCTTCAGGGGACAACAGTATTTGCTGAAACCTGGAGAAAAGAGAAGATTCCTCAACTGGGATGCAGTAAACAAAGCTGGCTCTTTGCAGAGGCTGGTTGACTTGCACTGAATTATTGTCCCCATGCTAAGTAAACAGCGAACGTATTCCAAAATCGTTTTTCAATCTAACGTTCCTTCAGTACTAAAAATGAATTAAAGCTGTGCAGTCTAGAGTAAAATCTGTTTTCTGTCACGTTTTGAGGGGATGAGTTGGGGTTCAAACATAGATTGGGTAAAAGAGGCAGCGCTTAAGTCCACATTAACTTCTAGCTTGTTTAGAAGCCAAAGTGAATTTTTTTTTTAAAGTATTCATGATTAGCCAGCTGTTTCACAGTACATGATAATTTAAATAGCTATTAAAGATCTAGCTACGTATTGCTAACTCTGGTAAATACAGAGCTGGAATCTATTCCTAGATCAGAAATTGTAAAACTGGGAAAAGCTCAGAGAAAAGAATCAGACCTTCACATTAATAGTTACATTTAGTGAAGTACTGAGAGAAGAGGAAAAGACCAGCCAGATGCAGAGGAACACAGAACAAAGTGAAAAGCATAAAATTCTTCATGGCCCAAGATGCCAAACTTCTCTGTGCTGCTGACATGCTCTTTCAGTGGCTCTTACCACTCTGATCCCACCTGTTCTCAGATTTCTCCAGAAAGAATTTCTCCAGGTCCTTGAATCACACCATTTTTGTGCATCATCTTTTAATGAAGGTGTACTTCATGAACTAGACGTTTAGCTGGTGTCAGTCATCGTAGTTCCAACTTCAGAGCTGCACTGATCTGTTCCAGCAGGAGATCCAGCCAAATCTCTCTCTCAATCATCAGACTACATTCAGTGTGCAAAAGGAATTCAGTAAGCATACCTGGGTGAATTAGGAACAGGACAACATCCTGTTGTGCTAGGGAAAGTCTACTGCAGCATTAATTATCATTTATGTATATACCTAGTACTCATCACTGAATCCCATGCCAGCTGGCTGTTTGTGCAATAACAAACAAGAACCATACAATATAAAAACAGCAAAGGGATCTCACATCTTCACAGCAGATCAGCTGTCATTTGGGTAGATATTAAATAAAGAACTGAGAACATCCAGGTTTTTGATAATAAGTCACAGCATTATGGAGCTTGTTTTATATTTGGTAGCAGGCACTACAGTTGCTGACATGCAGTCTGTGTTTTCTGTATACAAACACTTACCTCTATTTGCCAATTATCCTTACGCTTGAGGTTTTTCTTGGGGCTGCTAAAATACTCTTAATCTCCATATTAAAAAGAGCTGTCATAACAGCATGGCAGTTGAGGGCCACTGTTGGAAGAGACATGGCTATCCAGATTCTTTAGATCATAGATACCTTCCAACTAATGAGAAACATCTTGGCTGCACCCAAAGTTTAAGAATCTACAGTCCGTCATGCAGGGCACAACCGATCTATGGTACAGAGTCGTAGGAGTGAAGAGAGCCTGCAAGGATTCAGGAGGAAACTGGACAAGCTTAAGACACCTGCTGAGATTTATTAACCAAATAGAAGCAGCCGCCTGCTCAGAAAACCCCTTGAGCTGAAAATCATTGAAATTTTGGAGTTTGAATAAAGTATCATATGTATTTGCACTGTATCTACCCTTCCCTAGGTACCTACTGACAATCAAGGTTGCCGACAAGTTGCAGGGCTAGATGGATGATATGAACTGTCAGTGTGACCCAGGATGACTGCTCTTACACTTGTAAGTAAAATGAGGAATTCACACACCACCATCCCCATGCTGATCTCAAGCCCCGGAAGTATATCCTGACTTCCATACTAAGCTCTGTGCCTACTGTATAGAGGATGAACCATCTTAAAGGAACCCAAAGAGCAAGAAGACTTCGCAAAGCAAATGTGATCTCAGAAAGAAGAAAAAAAATATATTTAGTATAACAGCTCTGAGCCTGTCAAAGGTATGTGAGAAATGTCAGCACAAGCCTGCGCATAGAAGTTGATCCTGTAAACAAATTGAATTTGTTTTGCATTAACCATGAGGAAGAAAGTACTTTTATCCCAGATAAAGCATGGAGGTATTCAGGACTGACTGCTAGACTTGAAGAAAGTAGATTAAGGGAAGGGTGTGGATTTTCAAGTACTAAGGCCGCAATTTCCTGGCTGGGCAAGCACCTCCACAACAGATATCGACAGAAGGAATGATACCATTTATGGCACACCTCTGTAGCTTCGTGAAATCGCTATACAAGGCTCATAGTACAAGACATGCAAGAAAACACAAACATGTACATATTTTGGTTGAACAATAAGCCAGCCGGGTAAAAAGATCCACTATTGCTCCATGCAGCATGAGCAGGAAATATGGCACCACATGTGATATGATTTTGTGAAGGATAATTCAAAGGTGGGCTTAAGGGGAGAGAAAAAGGAACCAAGGAGGAGAGAAAGGAAGGGTCATTTGCAGAGGAAGGAGGAAACGAAACCCAGTTACAGAATATTTAACACTCCAATCCAAATCCTGTGCTGTTTCTTTTCAAAGTGTGAAAAAGTCTTGGCTATTTATTTCTCCTCTTCTCCCCACCCTGCCCCCATCCGATAGCATTCCACCACTGTTTTTATATTGGTTTGTACATAGGCCATGTAACTACTAGACTGAATGGAAAAACACTGAAAATGAGGCAAAAAGGTCTGATGTGACCCTGATAGCAAAACTTTCACTCAGGTTACCTCCCATTAACTCAAATGGGATGTAAACAGAGAAAAAGTTCCTGCTAGCAGAACATAAAGATCAAGGCAGAACAGCTACCTAAATAGCTCCAGAGTACATCAGCTTCAGCCTGGCCTTCCAATAAACTCAGAACAGCTTAGACTCTGAGACTGCCTCACACCCAGACTTCTAAGATCTGCAACATACAGATTGACTAAGAATCACACCATACCACACCAAACACCAGAACGAACATAATCTTGAGCATCTTTGGCATTGGTCAGATGAGACTATGAAAACTCACCACATTTTTCCCTAACCAAAACGTTGCAATTTCCACTGCAACTGAAGTTTCTTCAAGTGAAGAAATCAGGACGCTGTTACATTTTGCCTGAACAACTCATCCTTGAGCTCCAAAAATCTATGCATCTCCCGAATGAAACTTTTTACTTTAAAGAATAAAAAGGGTCTGCCTTAAACAAGTGGTATCCTTCTTTGAACTTCTACAGTCTTATCTGAAATCCAAAGTGCTTCTAATACAGAAATGCAGCAGTGAAATCTGGATGGATATAAACATCCATTGCCCAACATTTTTGATTATTTCATTTTCTACCTCACACACTGTTAAAGTAAAATGATAGTAAGGCCTGGTCTGAAGGCCACCGAAAACCAAGGTGGTTTTATTACCATAGTGCCAGAACTGTTTTACAGCATCAACACTGGGATTCTACATGCATTAAAAAGCCTTTGTCTCATCCAATCAGGGAACAGAAACAGATTAAAAATAAAATGACATGAAACAACTCTGCTGCAGCAGTACCAGCACTTTGTCTTGCACGTGTTCCCCTCAGTAAAATAATGGAAATATTGCTCGACCTACTCTTTACTTTGCTCCGCTGATTATTCACAGTAACAAAGTCAATACCCTACAAACTACTGTTACTGTCTTTTGTTTAGAGAATGACAATGGAGAGGGAGGGGGGAAAAAAAATTAATTCTCTTTACTGAGCAAAAAATTTCTCTTTTATCCGATCCCTGTGGATCCAGCACTGCACGTTCTACATGAAGGACTGCTGACTCCTTCTACGTACTCAGGTCTTGCAGCTAAACTCAGCAAAAATGGCAAAGGTAAGAACAGCTGAGTGAATGGAACACTGAAACAACCAAGTGCAGGTATAGCTCCTTGGGGGCAAGTATATTTGCAAATATAGTTTGTTGGTATACCAACAAATTGGCAGAGAGGAAACCCCAAGTGGTTGTTTTGTTATCTAGGTCTTTGTTTTTGCTTTTTAAAAGAAAGTCTTTTGCATATATGAAAGCTTTCAAATATAAAAGCATTTACATGTAATAAATTTTTGTTTTTATTTTTCTATCTGGCAAGTTTTCACTTGAATTTGTCTCCTGGACTGTTCTGTACAGTAGGCAAAACAAAACCAGCTTTCAAATGTGATTGCTCTTGGTTTTATTTTATTGCAGATCACTTACTTTGAAGACAAAAAAAACTTTGAGGGCCGCTTCTATGAAGTCACCACAGACCAGCCAGACCTGCATGCCCACCTCAACTGCTGCAACTCTGTCAAGGTGGAAAGTGGCAGCTGGATGAGCTATGAACGTCCTAATTACATAGGCCATCAGTACTTCCTGAGAAAGGGAGAATATCCTGACTACCAGCAGTGGATGGGCTTCAGTTACTCCATCAGGTCTTGTTGTATCATCACAGCAGTAAGTTGTCCGTATTGTCTCCATAGATGTTTCTGCCTATACCAGACTTAAAACATTGCATTGCCTCTGTAGTAACGTAGTTACTGGCTAACTGACACATCCCATTGTGGAGATGCCACCACAGGTTTCAGCTGAAACATTGCAAAGGAAGGCGTATCTGCTTCACGGTGATTTTTTCTGTATTATTTCAGCCCAGAACAGAAGTGTGTTCCCCACTCCTCCCTCTGCCCCCAAGACTAATTCCCAAAAACTGCAACTTTTTGTTAAGAGAGGAGAGGTTGCCGAGATCCAAAAGGTTTCAGTACTCTCACACACAAGGGAAAGGATTTGAAATTTGGCCCAGGAACAGCCTTAATGATGAAATGTGCCCTTCCTATGTTCAAGAAAAACCTGTCTAAATTCATCCATTTGTAAGCTGTATGTACAGACTACACTTGCTCTGTCTGGTGGGAGCTTCATAGCTCCTCATCACTGCCAGATTCCAGATATATTCCATCTGGATAGGACACTGCAGCTGTTTGTTTTCTCCTGACGTGCAGTTCTAGGTTGTGCTCAGCCAAGTCAGGTCTCAGTTCAAGTGCTAAAAGCTAGCACAGAGAATCTCATGCTCTTTCAAGTCACAGAGAGAAAGAAGCTGCAGATCAAGGAACATCAACTTGGACAAGACGACTGATGGGAAGCGTCCAGGAAGGAGCAAGTAGACTGGATTAGTATGGTGGGTAAAAACCTTCTAAAAATAAATTGTATGTCTATGTGCTTTCCAAGATCAGACCAAGAAGGTCCAGAACTTTGCAGGTTCAGAAAATCTGATTCCACAGAAACAGACACCGAAGTTTTATTTATTTATTTTTAACCGAGTAAGGTGTTGGTCTACGCACAGCAGCTGTACCGTTGTATCTATACCACTGAGGTTAAGTAAACCTAATGTGGAAGAAGTAAAAGCAGCATGAAGTTACTTAAAGGCAATAGATTGTTCCTGTACAAGACAGGACTGCAATGCTCTATCTGTATAACACACTTGAGCAGCTGGACAGAGACTAGTACAAGAACTGTATTGAGCACTGAGGCAAGAGCAGGCAGTATTTTCTATACCAGATCTTTGTTGTGCTGGATACTTCAGAGTCAGAGGCAGTCCTGAAGCACAGCTTATCATCTGGGCAGATGAAGAGCAGAAGAAAACACACTGCCCACTTAAAGTAGCGCAACAAAAATAGAGAGAGACAACTCCCTTTTGCCCCAGCCAGAGCCTTATCCAATTACTACATAAACATCTAGGAATATTGAGGGCACGTGACTGCTACGGCAGTCCATATACCACACGGTGCTTTCATTTGTTACCTATAGATATAACCAAAGTGTGGTGGTCTTGGCTGGTCACCCCTTCTGCTTTCTGCCCTACGGGAACTCCTCCAAAGTGCCTAGAAGTCTGCTCTCACCAGAAGAGAAGAGATTCACCTTACTGCTTCACTGCATTAGGGCCTTGTCAGATTTACTCCTGTTAAAGTGACTTTCCTCCAAACATTAGTGGTTATTCATTGCTGTGTTATTAGTATCAGTAATGAGTATTAGATTCAGCAAACTCTAGTTACTTAGAACTACCACCTGACATCCTGTGCATCCATATCTGGGTTTGCCTTCACGGCCCCAAAAGCACAGCTGGCTACAGATCTATGACAGGAATGACTTCGGAGGCAGGATTTTGGAGTTCATGGATGACTGCCCCTCTCTCCAGGAAGATTTTCACTACAATGACATCCAGTCATGTAATGTCCTTGAAAGGAGCTGGATTTTCTATGAACAGCCACACTTCCACAGACAGCAATACCTCCTGAAGCCTGGCGAGTACAGGCGATTCACTAACTGGGGTGCCACAACTGCCAAAGTTGGATCCTTCCAACCAACAGTGGATATTTCCTAACCAACACTTCCCTGAGCTATGTTTCTCTTCGCTGAGCAGTGCCACTAGTACTTTATTACAGCTAAGGAATTTCAGAGCCTAAGTAGGTTAGACTCCCATTTCTTGCACTGCTTTTAGCTCTTGGTCTAAAGCCCAGTAGAGTCAGACACCACCTCCTGACTGTGGTGGGCTTTGAAACCTGCCCTTGCTTTACTGGCAGGAGTAATTCCCCTAAAATCAGCAGAGACGAGCGCCTAATGGGTAAACAAGCTCAGAGGAAACCTGCAAAACCTGCATCTAAATTGCCAGAAAGAATTCTCATCTGCAGTCTTAGATCATTATTTCAGATGTTAGAGGGGAAAAAAAAATACATTCTCTATTTATGATCAGGAAAATCCAAAAAGATATCACTTGTAACCGAGTCTGTGGGGGCCAACTCGGTACTTATATTTGCTATAGGGTGTACCTGAGCAGCCCCATTAAATCAGTGTCCTTTTCAGAAACAGTCCTCCCTGTGAATAAACTGGCAAGTCTACGTTCATGGTTTCTAGTCATGGAGGAGCTGCACATCAAATTTGCAGTTCCAGCAGTAACACTAGGGCATGAATTAAGATAGAGCAAAGCAATTTTTGCCATCTTTATCAGTAATGATCATGTTTGTCAGTGACCACTTGCAATGCTATGGATATCAAAATAAACCTTTTTGCTGCTTATTCATTTCTCCATGATGAAAGACTGCCCTGATGCTGTACAGTTCTCTGTTCCCTTTTGGTATTTAAGTCAGAGGGGTTTTGCACAGGACCACATAGCTCAGATTTCACGATCAGGGCCTACACTATGCTCTTTTGTTTAGTCCAGACCTCACACTGTTTGTAGACATGAACTAATGTTGACCCTCAGCAGCACAGGGAAGTAGCTACTTTCCCTAGGGTCTTGGGTCAGAAGCCAGAAGAGAGGCCCGTTATGTTAAGGACTCTACAATCCATTCAGTGTAGAAGCGGCCCCCACAAATCTCACGCACACTTCAACAGCATACTCTGTTTATTTAACACTGCAGGATCTTTTAAAACTATGTTTTCAGGTTTTCCAACACTAGCTATCATTCAGGTCTCTATGCCCTCTCTAGCCTAGAAGTTAGGCTAGCAGAGTCGTTGGAGGATTGACAAGGTCATCGTGAAGGACTGAGTCTTGGTTTCATATCTCACTCAGAGACAGGAGGCACTGTGCTGCAGCTAGCATTCCTACTTCTGTGAGGCCCTGGCCAAATGCCAGCCCTAGGTTGGCACTAACATTTTGCAAGAATCCTACTTCTAGCAGCAATCAGAGCTTTCCTGAGCACATTCCCCTTCAGCTGCTCCCCTTCATTTGGGTCCTTCCCCAATCCAACAGGAGTCCATCTGCCAGAAAACCCACAAGCCTTAAAGCTACTGTAGCAGGCATGCTCTGGACAACATTACCCTGTCAGCTCAGAGGAAGTTAAGTTCAGAAAGATCTCTAAAGGGTAAGGATACCTACACATCCTTCAACCCTGGTTGCTACCATGTTTGCTTCCTGTCACACCAAATGCTTTCAGAAGCCATGCTGCAGATCCAGACCTACCGAGTTCTGCAGCATAAAGAAGTCATTCAGTGAATGACTTCACAACTGAGGCAGAATGACTTGAAGCATCAGTTAAGTGCAGCATAAAGAGAAGATTTGCCTGCAGCTTTTTAAGTTGGACCAAAGCTTGAAAGGCTTTCTGTTCCTTATATGACACTAAGATACAGCTACCGGTAACTTTACTGATCACTGGCAATAACAGGGTGGACACTAAGGGATGATTTGAGTGAGAAGTCAGTTTTGATGGAGGAAGGAGAGCACTTTTGCAGTGTGATCTTGTGCAGTAGCTACTGCTGTCTTAGAGCATCTGCAAAATAATGACAACTTTAGCAGGAGTCTATACATGCTACATCTAGCAGGAGTGACAGGAGTGGAGGGAGGAAGTTGTTAGCCTGAACAGACATCTGTGAACCTTTACCGGCTGTTAGGGCTTGTAGAAAAATCAAGCAGATCAAGCATAGCCCCTATAATCAGGTACTATATATTTAGTCTAGAAGCGTCCCTAAGATGTCCCCTACACAAGAACACTCCCAGCACAGCTGCAGACTTAAGGCCTCCGGGTAAAGGAGCCTATGCCATAGAAAAGAAGCAGAAGAGATTAAGTCATTGCTTTTAACACAGGGTATTCGTTACATTGAAGTCCTCTACGGACACAGGCCAAACATACAGAAGAGGACAGAAACATTTACCATGGTCCCAGGCTATCCTGGGGAAAATACGTTCCCAAATCTAATTCTAGCAAACGGTTTAACCCTGAGCATATGAGAACAGAAGCCAGGGACCAGAGAGACTTAATGCTATTAGCTAGACCATCACATCCTGGCTTTAGCTGCAGCCAGTCTCCAACACTTGAAACAAAACAACTGAAATCCTTTGATATATAAGCTGGTATCTAAGGGCAGACAAATTCCTTCCCATTTCCAAATCTTGTGAATGACCAGCAAGCCCTGAATTAGCGGTGTACAATGTGAACATAGTGAGAGAAGGAAGATTAAACACTAATTAAGTCTGCTAACTTACCTAGTATAACAACTGCACCCTCATTTTATTGTGTAATCACAGGCAGAGAACGGCAATCCTGTATCATCCTCAGGAAACTACTGTCTCAAAGGCCCTAGCTTCTCGTAAAGGTCAGCACGCTCCTTTCCAATAGCCACACCAAATACACTCTGAGGTTAGTTGGGCCTGAATGCCCAGAAAGTAGCATCCCACAAGATGCCTTCTCTTTACATACGAGAAAAGAGAATTTCGATAGTGGGAGTATTACTGCCAGCTGCCTTGAAGGCCACTAGCTTACAACATAAAGATTACTCCTTGCCTCTGTGCGACGATCTGCTAATAAAGGATAACAGCAGAGTTCAGAGACGAGTTCATTTCTGAGCGTATTTCAGGTTTCCTTTGTTAGTGCTTTGCTAGTAAAAAAAGTTTTAGCCTTAAGACATTAAGCAAAACCTCAGATAAAACTTTGCCATAAATCTGTCTCCGTGGAAATGTTGCTGGTCTACAGCATGATCTTAGCAGAAGCCCTAGATCTAAACAAGAGGTTTCAGAATATCTGAAAGTCAGTTGCAGATTTTGTCTTTTCCATCTGCTCCAACAGAGAAAATAAGCTTAGCTTAACAAGAGTTTAATGCGAAAGAGGCATTATTTTCTGGTTTCTGTCACTTCAGAGGCCCCTTGGTTCAAAGTTGTAATCAAACATAACCCCCTCCATTGCTAAGTTTTTCCCCTAATCTTTAAATCCTTGCTCTCTCCCTACCCGCACCCTTCCTCCCACCCATTCTACTGCCAAATGAGAAGTTCTGTCCTCAGTAAGATAGCTGAGGTACTCACATGCAGTTATCAAATGAACAAAAAGTAGGAAAATCATTATTACGATAAAGAAAGCACAAGAAAAAACACTAGCATCAACAAGCACTTACCAAGAAAGGCAAATTACAGGATACACAGGTGAAAACTGCCTACCTGCTGGCTCTTTAAAGTCTGTGAGGCAATTAGTAAATAATTACAGAGAAGATAGACAATCAGGTGATGAGAACTCTAAAAATTAGGTTTCACAGTTTGACCAATCCATGCATACTCACATTTTAAAGCACCCTTGGATAGCTAGTAGCTTTTCTTTTTACATCTTTCTCTACTCTTTGCCTTTCAGGTCCTCAGCTGGGTCTTTTTACAGGTAACTGCACTGAAGTCACCTAGAATTACACTCGACCCGAGGGGATGAAGCTGTAGCCTGCCTTTCTCTTTCAGGGCAGTGAGCTCTCATTAGAACTCATATTCACATGTGAGAAAGAGCTCATTTTAGACTTGACTCACATCCAGTGATGCAGCCATCCACAAGACTACCACTTCACAGTGAAGTGCATGGCTTTGGGGATCCTCCATAAGCTCAGGCTATGAAATTACTCAGCTCATACTCTGTCAGAGCCTATCAGAGCAGAGTGTCCCAGTGCTGAGCACTAGTCCCTTACTCTCCCTTCAGATCACTTATATAAGATGAGAACTGCCTGTATGAGCACTAGCGACTACCCAGCCCTAATAGCTAATGACACTGCTACAGCTCCAACAGAGTGGAAAATGACTGCTTTATATTCTGTGAACATCCCAATTACTTGTATTTAACAGGAGAGGAGTCTCCCATGGGATTCTTGTTCCATCAAAGCTTGCTGTAGCATTTCTCCTGTACAGGGCAGCAGATGCTGTTATTTCCAAAAGTGAACGAAACAAGGAAATAAAGCAGGATGCCAAAGAAAGATTGCGTTTTCTACATGGCATTGCTTGGGCCTGACTTCTTCAAAGAGAGCAAGTTACAAGGAAAGCTTAAAAACAACAACAAAAACCCAGTTGCTTAGTCTAGAGAAGGCTGCAAGGAGATAGGATAACAGCTTTCAAATCACCAACTGTGCTACAGGGAACTTCCTTTTCCCATATTACTGTAGAAGGGACGAATGGTTATGGTTTGAATTTGTTCCAAAGGAGATATAGGCTAGATGTTAGGAAAGGGCTTTTATCTTAAGGAGTGAGGTAACTTCCCTAAGGAGGATGTGGGATCTCCATTTCTGGAGAGAGGTGTCTGGGCAGAGTCTGCCCTGGTGACACAGCTGGACGCTGAGCGTCTGTCTTTTTTTTTTTTTTTGATGGAAAAAATTGTGAACACATGTATCATGTGACTAAAAATAATTTTACAGACTCCTGTCAGTGTCTCTCTATCCATGCTAGGAACTACATTTAGATACTTCAGTATAAAATACTTATTTCACTCCTGCATTGCTGATTCATGTGATAGAGCACTTAGCACAGATCAGGCCTTAAATTTCTCCAGGGAGACTTCAACCATCTTCTAAAAACAAGAACAAATTCAAAGGTATGTTGCGGGGACCAATCTCAACCTGCCTCTGGGATCATGGTTATAACACATCCAT